GAGAAGCACTTTGGTGCGCATTGAACATCGGCGGCAGAAGCGATGCAAAGGTGTCACAAACATTCAAAGGAGTGGGAGATCCATGTACGCGAAACGCGGCTCTGAGGAGTGAGGTATCAGATGGAAAATGGCGGCATGTACCTGCTCATGGCACTCAGCGCGGGGCCGACTTTTCGCTTGAATCTTCGCGGATCCAACCGTAGTAGTCAGCATTCTGACTGCCCTTCAGCGTCGGCGTCGAGTGCTCAAAGCGCGTGCTCTGCGTGTCCACGCTGCCTCCCCTTGGAAATGCAGGTCGGGGCATCCTCGTCAGGTGCACGATGGGGGTAGGTGGTGGACTCGCAGCGGGCACCGTGTGGGAGAAGTTGCGGATGCGGTGTGATCTGCTCTCCAGGTCTGCCGCAGCTTGGCGAGTCCAGCCTTCGACTTCGAATTGGATCGCAGCCGGAGCTAGCAATCCCTCCTTTGCCGCCGCATGGTTGGCCTTCGCTTGCACTTGATCCCTGCTGGAAGTGGAGCCGGCGGCATAGCCTTGATTGCCAAAGTTGAGGAGCGCCATGTACAAGCGGGACGTTCCAACCACTGAGAAAGGGCAACGACATCAGCATGACGCATGACAGCACGCTCGACAGCACCTTCATCTCACTCACATGTCGCGACAGCTGCTGGCTGGGCCATAGCTGGTCGAATGAATGGCGGCAAAGTGTTCGTCACTGTGAAGGCAATGTTGATGACGTTGATCGACATCACGGTGATGAAGTATTGCAGACCCTCTCTAAAGAGGGCTTGTTGCAAGGAGGATCTAAAACCAGTACGCCTCCACAGTAGCAAGATCTGACCACCAGCCAGCACAAAGCAGATCACGTCGACGGTGCCCCAGGCGATGAACATGGCTAGATTGAGGACAAGTCGATTCAGTGGACGTGAGCTGTAGTACTTGTAGCTTGTTGGATACGCCTGCAATTACTTGCACTCACAGGTAGGCCAGAAATTAGCAATAGCATTCGTGCAGCCGCCAATGGGTCCCAGGCCGGGTATGTTTGCAAAAGGCGTTCCGATGTAGAACTGTGCCGCGTACAGAGACAGCGCCAGAGAGACCAACCAGCTGACGGCAAGCAGGACCCCCACAAAGCGATTCTTGTTGCAGATCGCCCATGTACGGACCATCATGAGGGGCATGACGATGGCATAACCGATAGCGTCAATCAGCGGCAAGAGCGATTGATACTTGGAGCAGTACGCCGCGGTCACGCCGGGCAGAACGTTGATTACGCATGCCGCGATCTGCCCCACCAAGCCGTAATAGCGACCAAAGGTGAAGAGCCAAAGGGACCACTTGCGACTTGA